ACAAAGGCAGGAAGGTTGGAGGCAGCTGCTGTAGATCAGTGGTCTGCAACCTTGGCAACTTTAAGACTTGTGGACTTCAACTCCCAGAGTTCCTCAGCCAGCAAAGGTTGCAGACCACTGCTGTAGATGACAGAGAATTTGCTTAGGTTTGCATTCCACTTGATGGCTTCCTAAATTGATTGATCCTTGCAGGAATCCGCGTGCTTGACTAGATAGATCTCTGCTCTGATAGTATGTTCTTAAATGCAATGTATAATATAATTTTCTTAACACTAAACTTAATTATTTTAATATCTCACTCCCTTCCAGCATCACCACTATTTGAAAGTCAACCCTGGGAAGTTCCATCATCCCTCTATATATCTGATGCAGAGCAAGAAGCTGAAGAAAAGAGAACCTCCACATCACTACTGACTTAGTTTCCCAAAAGAAAAAGTGCTTGTTCAATTATTGTTAAGTGAGATGCCTCTTTCTCAAAGTTGGTGTTTGGACAAGGATTAAGAATCAAGTAGATTAGCTGACAGATTTATCCTGACTCCATTTCCACAGTGAATCAATTAGCGGATATCTTGGTTTTAAAAATTTGTGAAGCCAGGAACTTGCCATGTGGCCTTGGATGGTTTCCCAGCCTCAGTTACTCAGCTGTGGAATGGAAATTGTCTTAATGTATTTCATAGGAATGTTGTGAGAATGAATGTTATAGGGATTACAACAGCTCAATTCTCCTTAGATTTATTTATGTATTCAGTGAAATTTACATAACTGAGTGAACAATTGCAGCTGAAGGTATTTAGAAACTAAAACAATGCATCTCAATGCAGAATTTAAAAAAAACAAGTTAAAAATGGAATATTTGAAATTGGTGTATATCATACTAAATAATAATAGCTAAATGACTATCATGACCTGTGCCAAATGTAGTTTTCACATCCATTTCTGCATCTTCTTTTCTTTCCGTCTATCATGAATAAATGCTTGAATAAGATAAGTATTTAATATATATAAGGAAAAAGGCAGGGTGTATATTAAATAAAGAATTGTCACCTCTTCAAGGCTGCCATTATTAGCATGGGGTTTGAAAACTCCTTGGAAAGAGGCCAATCATGCTTGGCTGGTGCTGTTTGAAAAAGCATCTTGTAATGTGACAATGTTCACTGTGCACTGGAACATGCTAATTAACTGGGATGTATAATGAGGAAGGTCAAATATAAGACCAGGAATATACGGTAATGTATCAATTCATCAATGTTGGTTATGATGCTGACTTTTTAATGTAATCCAGTGTGCAATAGCTACTAGCACCTGTTCAATAATCAAGCTATAGAAACATGATTTGATTTTTTAAAAAAACTGCAATATGGAATGGGAAAAAGGCATTGGCTTGTCATGTTTTTTTTTTTTTTTTAACTATACCCAAATAGACTGACCCAGACTCAAAAGA